TATGTTGCACTATGCCAACGTACAACTCAACAGATTCCTTACACCTTAGAAAGGGAAAATGTTGTATTTACAATGGTGAGACTGAGAAAACAAACGTCACCCCTTCTCGGGTAGAGAAACATCTGACTTTACTGTCTATGATATAATTGAAGTACATGAGACATATGCAAATTCTCAAAATAATATCTCAAAATAATATCTAACCTGTACCAGATTCTCTAAGAAGATATTCATAAGTAAAGAAATTCTCGGGGCCGGGGAGTTAGTTCAGTAGAATAAGTGCTTGCCTGGCAAGCGCAAGGGCCTGATTTCAATCCCCGGTTCCGCAAAAAAAAAAAAAAAAAAACATAAGTAAAGAAATTCTGAGCACAGTGAAATAAGTGCCCCAAGGGAATGAGGGGGCCTTGTAGAAGATAAAGCTTGGCAAATCTCAAAAACATGATATCAAAATAAACACCTAACATACGCAGATTCCTCTACAAATAATAAAATCAGGGTAAAATACCAAAATTAACCATCATGAGTGCCTGGAGGGTGGACAAACCCAGGCAGGCCAATGCCTGTCCTGGGAGGAGCTTGCTGGGTGTCACAGTGGTCCCCGTGGTGTGGTGGGGGAGCTGGAACCCACTGTCCACTCGACCTCCATGGTGAGGGGCCAAACCTCGCAGCCCTGGTGGCCACAACTGGGTGCAGCTGGGAATGCTGGGTACAGACATCCTGGGAAGGGACACGTGGAGACAAATGCAGGCCTGAGCCCCGAAATGAGCTATGAAATTAGCATCTGAACCACACAGAACGAATGTAAGGACTTCTCTACACTATAAAGATAGGATTACATGAGAAAATATGGACTTACTGAGTCGAGAGGGATTAGAAAGTGGGAATGTGTATCTTTTGGAAAGTTAGGAAAGTACAAGGTAACTTTCAAAGCAACTAACGATGCAAACTGCATAGCTAAATACTGTACAGAAAATTTAACTGGTTTTCTAAAGTGATTTACATAATCCAATCTGAAGGAAGGACAACAGAATAACAATAACAGCAGAGAGGAAAATCACGAAATAAATCATAATGTGCTCAGTATAAATCTGAAAAATTGGAAGTTAGTTGAGTGCTGCCCAAGGAAGGCGGGCGCAGGGGCGAGCACAGCTGTCCCACACACTCCCTGGAGACGCGGCAAGACGACAGGGGAGTGCAGGACGTGAGTGAAAAGCATATTCAAGCAGTAAGGTAAAAATTCCAGAATGTTCTACTGATAGCTGCTGAAACGGACAGTAAAACACAGTACTGCTAGTAATACAGTGGCATATTTTAATGGTAAATGCCAAATTATAGAGAAGACAGGGCAACTCCGTGAGCGCAGGGTTTCTGTAAGCCTGAGTGCTGAGGTGGCATGTTCGCCTGATCTCATTTTCAGCCAGAGATTTAAGTAAATGCTGATTGGAGAAAGCACACCCCTCCCTGATGTCACCCTTCCTGTGGATATGTGTCACAATGCAATGCCACAGCAATCGCTTTAAATTATGCAACACTGACTGCGCCTTGTAGACACAGGTGCTCACGGGGGTCACTTTTATACTCTAACAAAGGCTATCTAGAGATTCAACTAGCTAAGGTTGAGGTGTGCTCTGCTTGGCCTCTAAGAAGCTTTCCAAGTGCAAGTTTCCGCTGAGACTGTTAGAAAGCTACTCCGCCAGCCTTAGCCTTTACTTTGCACTTTTAAATTTCATATCTGAGAGAATGAGTTTGAAATATGTAAATAACCCAGGGCTGGACTAGAGCAATGAGGCTAAGGTTGTTTACAAGTCTACAAAAACTATTTTTTTTAGTTTTAGGGGAAAATACTTGTTTGCAATCTTCATTTGCTAGCTGAGTTTAAAAAGGACATTCACATTCAACTGTGCTGAATTTAATACTGCCTTTAGAGTTCCAAAGAATTTTTATGATTATATCTTAAAAACTTTCAAAATTATGGGATTTTTTTTATATATTTCAGTAATGCACTCAGTTTATTTCATTTCCCAAAAGATAGTTGTGAAAGAGCTACAGTTTTAAGAAAAACAAACAAACTCTTCTATAAAAATACATCTTACCTTTAAAAAATTCCCAAGGTGCAGACATTTTCCCAACTTGAAGAAATAATGATAATATTAAATTATCAGGTAAAGTAAAATATTTAATTTTTGAACCTATCCGGTTGCTAATCTAGCTTAGATGAGTTTTGCCCTTGCCAGGAAATCACAGGACTTTATTATCCATTTATTTAGCATGTGTCATGAATGTTCAGGACAGATTAGTTGGCTATTTTAATAGGCAGTTTAATCTTTTCTGGGATGATGTTTAAATAGCAGAATTATCATAAATGGGCTTCTTCCAGATGACAATGAATATTTTTGTAAGGAGATAAAATATGCAACTCTGCAGTTTATTTTGAATTTTTTCAAGTGGACATCTGCAGGGTGTTTATTATTTTGATGACCTAAAATTCTAAGGAGATAAGCACACTCAAGCAGACATCCCTGCACCTTAGTGGGAGCGGACAGCCCATTCACTCACGCACGGAGCTGTGCACTTGTTAATTCAGGCCTCCTTCATTCTTTCTGCTCAGTGCCAGTGACTGGGGGAGGTGCGGAAGGCATGACTGGGCCCGGCCTAGGGATCTTGCGATGGACGGGGAGACTGGCTTGGACCTCAAAAGGTGCCCGGCTGCACAGCCAGGCTTGGTGGGGCTCAAGGTTGGGCAGACTTCCCCAACTGCCACTGTTCCTCACATGATGCAGCCACCCTAGAGGTTGGTGCAAAGGTCCTCAGCTTCTGACTTGTTGAGTTTCTCTTTAAAAGATGACATGACCAAAAACATTAATAAATTATGGTCACATTGTCTTAGATGAGGGAGATCTTGACCCTTGGGAAATGAGGCATGGTTATGAAACATCTTTGCCTCACCTTATTCACTGGCAATAATTTTCATTATTTTCTCTTTACTCTTTTCTTTATGTAGGCATCTACCTATGCACACATATTATCTATCTATCTACCTATCATCTATCATTATCTGTCACCTATCTTCTATCATCTATTTTACATCTATCAACTATCTTCTATCATCTATCTATCTTCTATCTATCTGCATTCTATTTATTATTATCTATCTTCTATCATCTATCATCTATCATTATCTATCTATATCTATTGTCTATCTATCATCTATCATCCATCATCTCTCTATCTATCATCATCATCATCTTCATCATCTATCTATCTAACCATCCATCCATCCATCCATCCATCCATCCATCCATCCATCCATCCATCCATCATCCACCTGTCGTCATCTGTCTATCTGCGCACCACCCATAAGCTGGTGTTTCCTTCTTGTTTAATTATTCGGGCTGTGTGTGACTTTGAAGGACGAGGAGGCCTGCATTTGATTTCAGCTGTAGCCATGGACTCCAGCATTCATTCCACGAGGAATCTTCTAAAATTCTCAGGTGTGTTTACGGCAATATTGCACAGTACCTTTTGTCTTAAACACAGTATTCCTTGGGAAGTTGTTGTTACAGGAAAAGCCACAGGCTAGTACGGAGTGAAATTCTAGCCTCGTGTGAGGAGAACCACCCCCAGAGGCCTAAGAAAAGCACGTGAGCTGGCTCCAGATGCACAGGCAGGGCTGCGAGGCTCCCGGGACGCCACCTCCAGGTCTGCTGTCCTGCCCCGCTCACAGGGAGGTCCGACCGCAGTGTGGCAGCTGTTTTAGGTGAGTCAAGGCCACTTTCAGAGCATGAACACCATGTCTGAGGCTACCAGACTGAGAGCAGAAGACAGAGGGCTCTCCTGCGGTAACGCCGGGTGCACCAGCTGGCGAGGGACCCTCTTCCCCAGCAGTGGACTCCTGACCCAGACTGCTCTATTTTTCTTTGGTAGATGGTGGAACAGACCATCAACAGACCATCAATTCATTGAACAGATTAACTGGACAATGAATTATATTCATTTATTTAATTTTAAAGAGAAAAAGAACAACAAAAATACTGATATAGAATTTCAAAACAAGATTATAGGCTATTAACAAGGATGTTTAAATTGCCTCTTGTTACCTTCAGGGAGTTGCTCAGATTACGAGATGCAGGCACAGGAGACTGATGAGGCGACATGAGCTCAAACCGTTCCTTCGAATGAACAGAAATTAGAAGTCAGCTTAACTGTCTTGTGTGTATATGTGTGCTTTGGTCTTTCACCTTTCTTTTTTTCTTCTTTCCCCAGCCCAGTTTTTCATTCTCTTTAAGCAGTTTCTTTCCCTTTCAGATATCTTTTGTGCTGACCAGATCCTGTTTACTCTCTCAGGTTCTTACACTAAAGAGACAATACTGTTTGCACGTGTGAGTCTGGTTTATTCCACTTGTGCGCGTGGTCTCTAGTTGCATCCATCTACCTTAAAAGCCCTGAGTTTTCCTTGTCTATGGCTGAGCAGCACTCCACTATATAAAAATATATCTTCCTATCCATTTCTTGGTTGATGGCATTTGAGTTTTCCCAAGGTGTAGCTGCTACAAATTGTTCAGCTATGCTACAGGCGCACACATATCGCTTCAGTAGGATGCTTTAATTCTTTCGAGAAAACACCCAGAAGGGCACTAGCTGGGTCAGATGGGGCCTCCAGCACTAGCTTTCTGAGGAACGAACGTCTACACTGCTCGCCACAGGAGTTGTGCAAGCCTGCACTCCCACCAACGGCTGAGAAGCGTTCCTTTTACCCCACAGGTCCGCCAGCATTCATTACTGGATGATTGCTCCGTAAGAGCCATTTTTCTGGGGTGAGATGAACATCTCACTGTATTTTTTGCAAGCAATGTAACATCAGCTTTATTGGGTTTGGGCAGAAACTAAACCCTGGCTGGGGGCAAACTCAGCCCTTGCAAGTTGTTGAGTTCCAGCAGAGTCTGGTCCAGGGTCTGTTGAATCTCCACATTCTTCTCCTGGTCACTGGTCAAGATCTCTTCCAGGATATCAGTGGTTTTCTCTAACTTTGCCGCAGATCTTTCAGCAAATTCTGCTCGAGTCTCAGCCTCCTTCAGCTTTTCCTCTAGCAGTTTGATCTCCTCCTCATATGTGTCCTCTTTGGTGGAATACTTGTCTTCTTGGGCCTCCAGGGGTGTCAAGTTGTTGGTAACAATGTTCAGCTCCTCTTCTAGGTCCCCACATTCACTCTCAGCCACCTCAGCTCTCTCTTCTGAGCTCTCCAGCTCTCCCTCTAGGGTCACTAGTTTTGTGGTCACCTCTTCATTTCTCTAACGACTAATGGTGTTGAACATTTTGTTCCCTCATATTTGTTTACCATTTGTATTTCTTCATCTGAGAAATGTGTATTCATCTCAGATGCTCATTGTGGATTGGGTCTTTAGATTTGAGGGCTCTGATTTTTTTCATTTTTTTATATGTTCTACATAGAAGTCCTTTGTCTGAGGAACAGTTGGCTAAAATATTTTTCCTATCCTGTGTATTTTCTTTTTGACCTGCAGTTTGGGATTCATTCATGAATTTCCTGCCTACACCTATTTCTTCAAGATTTCTGCCTACTTTTTCTTGCAGCAGATTTAGTGTTTCTATTTTAATATTTAGAACTTTAATCTATTTTGCCTTGTGGTCAGCACATGGTGACAGATATAGTTCTAGGGTTAGGGTTTGGCAAATGGAAACCAAATTTTTCTAGCACTACCTCTTAAAGAGGCTGTCTTTCTTCCAGGGGACATGTTTGATGCCTTTGTCAATAATAAGGTGACTGAGTGTGTTTGTAGTTGTGTCTGCATCTTCTAATCTGTTCCACTGGTCCTTAGCTCTGTTCTGTTGTGTTTCTTTGTTTTTTGCAGTTGCTATAATGATTTTATCATAGTAGTTCTGTAGTATGCCTTCAAGTTAGGGACTGCAATGCTCCCTGCCTTGTATTTTTGCCCAGTATTGCTTTTCACATTCCAGGTCTCTTCTGGTTCCAGATGAATTTTAGAAATGTTTTCTCTAGATCTGTGAGGTAATGCTTGTGGTATTTCAATCAGAACTGTAGTAAGTGTATTTAACAGTTTTGGGAATGGGGTCATTTTCACGATGTTGGTTCTTATTCTCGACGAGCAATGTGTATCTTTTGGGCTATTCTATGCAGAACATTATATCGTCTACAAATAATGATAATTTAACTGCTTTCTTTCCTAACCTTATTCCTTTTATTTCTCTCTTTTGTTGAATTACTCTGGCTAATGTTTCCAGAACTGTATTGAATAGGAGTGGTGATAGTGGACATCCTTGTCTTATTCTTGATTTTAGAGTTGAACTTTTCAGAGTTCTCTATTTAGTATGATGTTGGCTGTTGGTTTGTCATTATAACTGTGAGCAAGGAACCAGCCAGATAGCTCAGCTGATTAAACCACCTACTTAGGCAGACACAGGGGCAAGGTGTTTGATCCCAGGTGAGCTATTCCAGCCCCACCCCAGGGACATGCTGAGAAGGCGATTGAGACCAGGTATGGTGGTGCATGCCTGTAACCCAAGTGCTTGGGAGGCTGAAAAATAGGAAGGATCACCACGTGTCCAATCTGTGTAGTAAGACCCTGTAGACCCTGTACTAAATACATGAAAAAATAACTGTGAGCAGGTATTTGATTAGCTTTTCATGATAGACAAAGCCTCTAATTATCAAATATTTAGCCAAAAAACAGGGAAGTAGAGCACTTCAAAGTGCAGTTATTTGTAGTCACAGGTAAACCTAGAAAATAATTTTTTGAGACAGGATCTTACTATGTAGTCCAGGCTGGCCTCGAACTCATAGAGTTCCTCTTGCTTCAGCCTCCTAAACGCTGGGGTTATGTGTATGTACCACTAAGCCAAGCATGAAATTTACTTTTTAATAACACTGTTCCTTGAAACAGGGTAGTCATTCAAGGTGTCCAAAGGAAGTTTTACATAAAACAACAAAAGCAAACTATAGGTGCTAATTCTAAAATCTTACTATCTGTACTGACAAATTTAATTCATTAGATTTCTCACTTTTGTGTTTTCAAAGTAATTAGTTTCATTCAATTCTGAAAGTATCCTGAATAGCTCCATTTTATAGAAGCTTACATTGGGGCTGGAGGGGTAAAATGGTCATTGTGGAATAATAAAGAATATCTAAGAAGTGAACCCAAAGTATTTAGGTCCCCTTCCTTGAAAGAAGCTGTCAAGGGCCGGGGAACAGATTCGCCCCGCAGACCTGACTTATGACTGATGAGCTCCAGATCTCTGCAGCTTTAAGCCATCCAATGAAAAGTTACATTTCTTGTTATATAGGTCCTGCTTCATCTTGGTCTTAACCATCCAGCAGAAAGGTAAAAAAAATGAGGTATAAAAAGTAAAGCCATATTAATATGCTGAGCTGTAAAAGGCTCAAGTCAACAACTTCTGACATTGCCTGTCCTACAGATAACCCACTACTATTATGGACTACTGGATTATATTGGATTATTTTGAGGAATTCATGCACCTACAATATTTAAATGACAATGGAATAACCTTCTTTGACAAAACTAATCAAAAAAGGGTGATACAAATGAAGGACCATTTTGTAGTGAAAAAAATATATATATATACACAAAATAGTTAGCATAGATGAACAGCTACTTTCTCTTAGTTCAATGGGAAGTTTTGAACTAATAGTGTTTAGGCAAGATGTCATGTCTGAATCTTGTACTAGGAACAAGGACTACAAAGACAACAATATGCAATGTATTAATTATTGTGACTGTCCTACTAGCCTGTTTTGAAACTATCTCATTGCTACTTCTTTCTCAATAAAATTATTAAAAACAAACAAAAAATGAGTGGTAATTTGTTAGGACATAATAGGAAAGAAGCATAATCTTAAACCTAAAAATGCTTACTGTGGCATTAGAACCAATCTTTTCTCTCTTTTTTACTGAATAATATTATGTTGTTTACCAAATTAGCTGTTTTACCTGCACATTTGCATTGATTTACTGGGTAAATTCTTTACTTAAAGTTATGAAAATAAATTGAAGTTTATGGACAATATCTAAACCCTTAGATTGGGTGAGCATTCCCAATTTAAAATATCAGAGCCTTCATTTCAAATGATGGACAGGTGGAAGCGAGCCTTGTCAAAATACGAGCTCTAGGTATGCTAAAGTTTGCCTCTAAGAGAAATTAGAGCACATGAGTCCTCTGTGTGTCAGATGGGCTTAGTCTCCTACCTACTCAACCTCCCTTTAGTAAGTCCGAGGCTCAGATTTGTACAGCACACCTCAAGTTTCATGGCATAATAACTCTACGGACAGTCGTGGCGGGATCATTCTACCAGCAGTCACTGTTCTGTGGCCGCCGTGGAATCGGGGAAGAGCAGCATACTCTGCTTGTTCCTCCAAGTGACGCTAGCAAGGGAGGAAAGAACACGGCTTGAAGCAGAGCTCAAAAGCACAGGGCACAAATCGGCGGCTTCTGCAGTCCCTCGCTGGGATTTTGGAGCTGAGCCCGAGCAAGCATCTGTTTCAAGGGTTAATGTGCTCACCGTGGGAAGGGGGTTGCTCGGATAAGTGACCCACGCCTCGGGAAAGCCTTCCTGCGCTTGGACTCGGAACGGAGGTAAGATCCTGTGCCTCAGGCCCGGGTGGACTGAGACCGAGTTAGAGTAAGTGGTGCGGCCCTCAGGCCCGTGGGAACTGGAAGGGCGCGCTCACTACGGGCCAGTCACCTCCCTTTAGCAGCACTTCCCCGTCTCGTGCGGGGCGCAGACCTGCCGGGCAGCCGGAAGCAGCAGCACGGCTGCGTGAGCAGGAGTCCAGCGCGCACTCTTCTTCGTTTTCCAGATCAAGTGTGGAGTCAGAAAACGGGTCAGCGAAGCCCTCGTGGATACACCAGGGAGCTGTGCTTCTCTCTTGTAAAGCAGCTTGCAGTGCAAAGGTCAGGCGCCCGCCGCAGAGGCGTTACACTTCTTCGCTGCGCTGCGCATGGTCAAGAAATTCAAAATGTAGGGAATAAACTGGCAGCCTTGTAATGTACAAGTCTGTAGCCTATAACACAGTCCCACAACTCTGCTGGAAATTTGGAAAGGCGAGAACGGTCTGGATTTTACCCATTGTCAAACACCATGGGAGCAAGCGGACAGCAGGAGCTAAAGCCAGGACACAAAGAGACAAGGAAAGGACCTGAGCGTCCAGGGCTCTGAGCGAGAAGGAAGACGCGTCTCAGACCCTCAGGCTGCAGGGCGCAGCCACCCTGTACCAGTAAAGGGTGAGCTAGGTATCCTGTAGAGGAAACACCTGAAGCAATGGAAGGAAAATCAGTCTACGGAGGTTACTGTGAGAGAAAAATGATGAGCCAGACCAACATGATTAGTGTGGAGCTGAAGAGAAGTGGAAAACTTTGCAATTTACCCCAGTATCTCGGTTCATGAATGCTTTTGTGTGTAAACAGTTTGGTTCTCAAAGTGTCAGACAAAAGTTTTGTGTGTTTGCTTGCAAACTCTGCATCGTGAGACACACATGATCATGGACGTTCTTCCTACACAGACACAAATCTGGCCATCCTTTCCAAAATCATAAAAATTAATATCATAAACTGAGGTACCATTGTATATTTAAATTAGGCACCACAATTTGCAAGTGGCAACTTACACTCAGGTACTTTATGTGTGTGGATGAAAAAAATCAAGGGAGATTCAGAGTAAAAGGCCTGGTGTCACCCCACAGAATTCATTGACGTAACAGTGTTGAGGTGGGGACAGGACCAGTAACTGGTGGGTTGACTTTGTGTGGAAACACAAGGAGGGAAACCAGTGAGCAGTGTTACATTCTGTCATGCTGATGGGACATCTGAGTGTCATACGGAGTGATCAACACAAGTCCTGATGTCTAGCTCAGATGAGATACACATTTGAGAGTGCCACAGTGTACACGGAATTGAAACTAAAACAAAGTCCCAGTTCCATGAGAAGAGTAAGTAGCACACACAGACGGAGAAGCCGTGTGAGTCCCAGGGGTGGAGCAGAGCGAGGCAGCGCAGTGTCTGAGAGGCCTTCTGGGAGTGTGGGATGGCCATGTCTGGCAAGAGATTGCCCAAGACTAAGACAGGAAGCCCTGCGTCCGGGCGCTGGTCGGAACTGTCGAAGGAGCAGGATCGAGCATGCAGGTGTGTGCAGCTCCGCTGGGACTCCGAGGGGGCAGGCCGCGCTGGAGCGAGTCGTCCAGCACACGCACCGCACATGCACATGTACACACACAGACACATGCACCACACACACACCGCACATGCACACGCACCACACACACACATGCACAGGCACACACATCGCACATGCATAGGCCAAGGCACATGTACACACATCGCACACGTACATGCACGGCACACGCACATGCACCTGCACCGCACAAGCACACGCACTGGCAACAGCACATGCACACACATCGCACACGTACATGCACGGCACCCACACATGCACATGCACACGCACATGCACAGCACAAGCACACACACAGGCAATGGCACATGCACACACATCGTACACATACACACATGGCACGCACACACACACAAGCACATGTACACACACAAGCACACGCACATGCACTGCACACGCATCACACGCACACACAGCACACACACACACGCACACCTCAGAGCGCTCCTGAAGTGCTAAGAGCTCTGACTCAAGGGAAGAAGAGAAACACAGTAGCCAGCAGACTTGTGGTTCAGAGCAGCGCTTGTGCTCACGCGCGTGCTAACCGGCGTGCTGGGTCACTGGCGTCTACACTGTCGTCCTGAGGCAGCGTGGCGGGGCTGCTCTGCTCATACTTGATGTCTATCACCAGGTCTCACCGAAACCTGGAAATACAATGTGCTTTAATTTTTTTTGCTATATTTGTGGCGTATTAGATATATTCATCATGTGCAGTTAGTATGCGCACCACACTGAAAATTTATTTGGTAAAGTTGAACAGATTTCCCCAGAACAAACACACCATTTTCATAAGACTTCCTCGCTTGTTGTTTTCAGCCTTCCCTGCATGACATCTATCTGGTACCATTCTGGACACTCAGGGAACAAGTTAATTTATTATATCAAATAGATGTCTTACACCATTAAGGGTTCATTCTGCCTGTGACCCTACCTCAGGACGCTGAAGGGAAACCACTTTTTTTCATTGCGTGAGCAGAATAATGTGATGTCCTAAAAGATACTCTTGGAAGAAATATATTGGCTAGAATCTAATAGTCTACAAAATGGGCAATTAAGATCTCAGTCATTGGAACAAAATAGCTACAGAATAACTAGCAGTTAATTCTTTGGCTACTTGTAATGTGTGCAATCTTATTTATATATTTACATATTTATCCAACACAATCATAAAATGAATATAGAAGATTAATGTGAGAGATAGCGGCTCAGACCACGTCCGCACAGAGGCCCTCGGCGCGCTCTGACCCAAGAGTTAGACCTCTGCAGCCGCCATCCTGGCGCTGGCCTTCACACTCCCGCAGGTGGAGCGTGGCTCTCGGCCCACACAGTGGCCGCCCGACGTGGCGGGACGCGCAGTTAGCAACCGGAGAGCAGGGGCTGTCCTGGTGCACACCCCAGACGGGAAATGCAGCTGGAAGGACTCAGTGGTGGAGTTTTTAAAAGGAAATAACCAGAAATCAGAGGACTTTATATTCCTATGACAAGCAGCCTGGTGCTGGGTGGCCTTGTGTTCCATTTCTTCACGTCTCATTCCAAGGGCAACACTATCAGAGTCATGTCGTTTAACAATTTGTTTCTAAAAACCCATAATAGCTTCCTGTTTACACTTTCACTGCCATTTATGAAACATCGTTTCTAGCAACTAAACTCTCTATATTCATATTTAATAAACTTGAGAAACTGAAACTCTAGATCCATTACTATGTCTTCAGATTCAGTGGCTAAATCCAATTACCAAGTAAGAAGCTTATTCATCTCAACAGTAGCATCTTCAGAAATCTAGGCATTCTCAGTTTATAACTGACAGATTTTGGGTTTGCAAATAAAAACTTAGTCTTCATGGTATAGAAAAGCCTATTGTTATGTGTTTTTCAAAGCACTGTCTGGAGAGTGTGAAGATTATATGTTTTCATAAACTTGCATTAAAAGTTCATTTTGGTGATTGGCAAGAAGTGTTAGTTTTTAGAAAATGGTCTCATGAGCATACCACAAACATTTCTTTAAATATTTTGTATTCTCTCCATTTCAATATTTTTAAAAAATCAGTATTTTAAGATGATAGCATATAGCTACTCATTTTGAACTGGGAAATGTGTAATTTAAAAATGAAAGCCTGGTCTGCTTTTTGAAGACATTCTGGATATCTCTTCATATGGAAATGCACAAATACAAATGTGTGACATTTTCTCTAACTATTGAATTAAGCATTCCACATTTCTTACGTATCTATATATTTATTCACACAAATAATATCTGTGTAACTATACGATATATATTTATATATTAACGTATACATATGGCTGGCTAGGTATCATTTTCCTTGTATGTTTTAAGGCAATGGATATTGATTCTTATGCTGAATTTCAATAGATAATCATTATTTTTGTAATATATGTAAAGCTACCAAAGTCACTTAGTACTCTGAAGTCGCTCATGTTCGCTGCTGACGACCAGTCTTCCCTTTGCCCCAGCACAGAGCATACCTCCAGCAGTGCGCCTCTCGCTAGGATACAGCTTCATTTTATCAATGAGTCTACAGTTCTTTAAAATAAAGCACAGTGACTTAGTAAATGATTGTTTAAAAATTTTAAATCCACACATCAACATATGGCTTCATTATAAATATCCTACGCAGCCTGTCACTAGATTACGTCCACGATCAATCAGCACGATAGAGACGCATTCTTAACATTATTTGGGTTAGCAGAAATACAGCAGAAAAACTACAAAACACTTCAGGAATTTGCTGAAGCACTTTATGTCTTGTGCATAATATATGAACTCAATATTAAATTTTGAACTCAATAGCCAACAGTAAATATTTAAATAAACACAGGAAAACATAAAGCAAGGTATACCCAGATAACAAGAATATTTCTTTGGACAGATGACTCTGAAAACATGGAATTTTGTTAGAAATGTGGATGAAGTTACAGAGAAATCCTTCCACATATCAGTGTGAAAAGTTTGTGTGGATCTCCAACAGTTCTGGTGCTGGCAGGACTCAAAATAGCTACAGGAAGGAGCACAGCTTTCCTGCAGAACCTCGGACCCGATTTTACGGCGGCATCTGCACCTAGCGGCGCACTGAAGGCGACAGAAGAACTGTGGCAGTCTTCAGGAACGAATTGCACACTTTCACATTCGTTAGCGAAGTTACTTTCATGTTGTGACGTGTTTCTGAAATCCTATACTATGTTTTTTATGTACCACATGAAGCTCCAACTATTATTTTAGAAAACCTGTTCTCTTCTCTACTTTCTGAAAGACAAAGTAAATCAGCTTGCCTTGGGAGACCGGACCCTCCTTTCCAGCCTGAGAACGCTGGCCGGCTTGGCTGCTGGACCCAGCCGCAGCCTCAGCACGTGTCACTGTCAGTAACTGGTCACCTCTCGGTGATCACAGCTTGCTGTCCTGAAGTGTGGTCACCTTCAGGACCTAGAAGGCCTCACGCCCTTCCTCCCTGGTCAGTGTCCTCAAGAAGCGGCAGTCACTGGCCGCTGGCCTTGCGGTTCTCACGCAATCACGCGCCAGCTCAGCACAGTTTTACTTCTGACTCCAGGTTTGCTGGCGATGGTTTCCATCAGTGACGTCAGTGCCACAAGCCCCTGGCACTTGTCCCACACCCCTAACAGAGTGAGGAGCTGTGCTTCACTTTTGGGGGACTTACGCACCCCACAAAAATTTTGGGAGAGTTGCTCTGCGTGGGAGAGTTCAGTATTGTCTGTTCTCTGAGAGTTCATTCACTTAATGACTTGCATTAATATGGATTCAGGTTTGTTTATTTTACACTACGTGTTATAATCCAAAGCTAAATATTTGATGAAGTTATTTCAGCTCTGAGCTTTTGAATGTCCTAAAAGTTTCCTGCATCCCACGTGCACATCACCCCTGACAGCCCCAATGTGGCATCTATACAGGTGAGGTCATTTCTGAGGTGGCCATGTCCAGATGTCCTCCAGTCTCATGCAGTCATAAGCAGGACTTTTTCAAAAGTGGCTGATCTAGAGTGTGACACTGGGTTGGTTCATGGTGCAAGGCCAGGATCAAGTCTCTAGGATTGGAGTGTGAACGCTGCCCACCTGAAGTAGCTCGGAAAGACAGAAGGGACAGAAAGAGCTGTGGTCCCCCGCGGCGGCTCTGCTACCTCCTGCCCGCCATGCACCGCTTCTCCTCTGCAGGGCCTGTGTGCTGTCCACCCTCCTTGAAGCCAGCCTGCTGTGGGCTGAAGCCTCTAGCATCAAGGAGCTAAATAAACCTTTCCTCCTTCAAGTGTTGGATGTTGTGTCTCAGCAATGAGAAGAACCACCTGCACCATCTTCAAGCTGCCTCCAAGTTGGCTGGGGCGCCTCGTGGCCCTGCCGCTGGTGCACAGCAGTCCTTCCTGCCTCCCTCTCCAGCAGGTGTCACGCGGGCCCAGGAGCTGTTGCACGGGGTGAGCTGTGTCTGGTTGTTCTCAGTTCAGTTCCCCAGTGGGCCTGTCTTCTTATACTTACTTTCTACCTGCAGATCTCTTGCTGACCTTTTAAAATTGGGTCATATTGCTATCCTTATAAATTTTATTTATTTATTTATTTATTTTTATTTTATTTTTTATTTTTTTTGGCAGAACTGAGGATTGAACTCAGGCCCTTGCGCTTGCCAGGCAAGCGCTTATTCTACTGAGCCATCTCCCCGGCCCCTGTCCTTATAAATTTTAGATGCCAGTCTTTCATCAGGTAGTTTTGCAAATGTTTTTTCTCAGCATAAGTTTTTGTTTTCTTGTACTGACTTTCACTGAACACAAGGTCTTAATTTTAATATAATTTAAAGTATTAAAAAAAATTGTGGATTTGATGTAGCTTTGACAGAGTTGACTCAAGGCCACTTAGACTTTTCCTATGTTCTGCCCTAGAAGCTTGTGTTTGCTTACTTGTTTTGTTTTGGGTTTGTATTTTATATTTAAGTAGATTTTGAGTGAAGCTTTGAAAGGCATGCAGTCTATGCCTAAATTGTTTCCTCCGGATGTACAACTGGACAGCACCATTCCTCTCCAGCATCTTGGTATGAGCCCTCCCAGCAGGCAGGGCTCAGGACTCTCCTGTTCTGAAAAGTTCTCCCAACATAGCTGGCTTTGGTGGTAGGATCTACCAACGATTTCACCATGAAACCATTGTCAGTTGTGCCCTTGCTTTCCAAAGGAAAAAGGAAATACATCCTTGTCAAGTTAAAATTCCAAAACGTGTTTCATTATGAAAATCAGCAGTACAAAGCACAAAACTATACAAACAAAAGAAAACAGTCAAAAAAAACATTAGTACAAATAGCCTCAAAATACATAGTAGTCAGCCAGACGTGGTGGTACACGCCTGTCATCCCAGAACTCGAGAGGCTGAGACAGGAGGATCGCTGCAAGTTCAAGACCAGCCTGAGCTACAAAGTGAGCTGAAGGCCAGCCTGAACTACACAGAGAGAGCCTGTTTCAAAAAGACAAGACAAAAGAAAACAAAATAAAACAACAAGTAGCTGGAATCCTATAATATATGCAAGGTGTTACAATGTTACATTTAAATTTCAAAACTACAAAATGGGTTTGAAAATTGATTTGAAAATCAAGCCCTGTAAGCTACCCTACTCCAAATCATAACTGACACAGAAGTTATGGAAAATGGAGGGCGAAGGAGCATCCTTAGTCTGATGAGCAGCATCTATAGCTTGGCCTCAATATTGAAGCACTGAGGTTCGAACGCTTTCCTCCTGTGTCAGGCAGAAGGCAGGATGAACACGGCTTCCACTGAACAGAGACATGGAAGCCTTACCCGTACAAGAGGTCTTACTATGAGAGAAGGGAAAACACTGTGGAAAAGGAAATCAAGCCTTTTGGCAGAAAACATAGACGCCTACCTAGAGAGAAGGGGCCGTCGACGTGATCAGAGAGCTTAGGAAGAGGCAGGAGACAGCCCAGAGCTGGGAACGGGGCCACAAGGGCACTGTAGCGCTCTGGGACATGGGTGCCGGAGGGTCACAGGGTCAAACCAGCTTGTGCAGCTTAGCAACTTAGCTAGCTCTTGTCACCAAACAAAGTATTTTTAAAGCAGAAAAGATAATAATAACAGCAGGAAGGGAAGCCCACAAACTGAACTAGCCTTCTATCAACAGCTCCTGAGTGACGACCAGTCCGCTGGAGCAAGAGCTCACTCGTAAGACGAACGCACACGTGAGTCCTTGGGAGATGCACCCAGCCTGACGTGCAGCCTCAGCCTCCAAGTGTATTTGCGCCTCAGAACCGGGAGTGAGTGCTTCCCAGTAGCTTCCACAGCCTTCGCAGGCCAGCGTCAGATTCCCCCTGAGCTCCAATTTCAGCCACTCCCTGCTGCCAAAACCACGCATGTCCAGCCTCTGCTGACACCTGTACTTCCTGAGCAAAATGCGTCTCTTCCAGGTCTCTCTGCTTGCCTCACAGAATCCTTTGCCTCTCGGGAGACCCTGTGTGCTCACCTGCCCGGGGCTGGGGAAGCTGCCCGAAGCGAAGCCTGGGAGCGGAGCGCTGAGGTCTCCTGGACCCTGCGGGCGCACGTCTGAGCAGGACTGCCCAGGAGCTGTGCTCTGCTCCCTGCGCTAGCCATGAGCTATCTGAAAGGTGAATTACGAAAGAGATCGCTGCAACAACCGCGTCTAAGAGAACAGCAGATGTTGGCATAATGACCTAAGAGTGTTAGAGATCTGCACACTGAGTTACGAATTACGAGGAATAAGTAAAGAAGAGCCCACATGGAAGCAGATGCTTTGTTCACAGACTACAAGATTTAATCTTGTTATAATACCCATATTATCTAAAGAAATGTATGCAATCGCATCTCTATCAAACAATGACATTTTTGCAGAAATAAAAAGTATAATTCACGTTTGCATCTAATTTTGACAGGAGGAACACAGCCCTTGCACCGCTACGTGTGTCGCTGTCTGGGACTGAGCCCCTGGCCCACGCCAAGCTAGGTCCAGGACATTTCTGTGCACAGGCTCTCACGGCGCCTGCATTGCCGCACGTGGGGTCCAGTTCGCGGCTGCCGCGGCAGCCTGCCTCAGCAGCCCCGCTTCTGTCAGGAGCGGCACCATGGAGGCTGAGGCCTAGGATTCAGAGGAAAGCACAGCGGCTAGAGCTGAGGCTTCAAGGCGGAGGGAGGCGCCGGCAGCAGAGGCCGGCGTCCAGCGGCACCCCGGGCCGGCTGCGCCCCAGCGAGAAGGCGTAAGTGCGTGCGGGCAGGAGTCGCACCGGCAGGCGCCGACCGCACCTCCTGGCCGCTTTCATGCCTGGTGTGTCAGACACGGAGTCCAGGATTGAAGACCGTCTACATCGTGCAAGTGGAAGGGATACACCCCACGCACCGGCCAGCGTGCGTGCGTGCGTGCACACGCACATGCGTTTCTGCCCTTCAGGAAGAGCCAGCAAGCTGAAAAAGCAGCATCTCTTAGGAGACTCGAAGACCATCAAGCTCCCGCTTGCAGTGAGCGACCAGGGGTTCTGCGCAGCGCGATCCTTCTGAGGAACTCTTCCTGGCGGCCCCTCTCAGCACACTCGGGAACGAGGGTTTGCAAGGTGGACGTCTGTGCAAGCAGCAAAGAGCACAGCAGGTGAGCGCAGTGCGGCGGGCTTTCTGGGAGGTGCGTGTCAGACACCGACCTGGCACCCAGGAATCTGACCTTCGGGTGAGCCTCAGGTTCTGTCGGGCGACTCACACTGAGGCTTTCCCTGACACTACTGAGAACGTCTCTGAGAATTCATTTCAGAAGCATATTTGGTTAGATCGCGACGGGCTGACCCACATCCTGGGCTGGGACGTGTGGCTCAGCCGTGAGTGCCTACTGTCGTGCTCGAAGCCTGGTTCACTGCAGCGGCACCCCATGGGCAACAGAGAAGAAGCCACGCAGAATTTTGTTACATATGAATTGTTTTATAAATGTGATGCTCACTGCCTCCATATTAAGAGACATTTTCTAATAATACAGGGCTAAATCTGTAGTGTATCATCAACTCACTTCTTGGAAAATGAAATGTTTTGAAACATGAGGAATATTAAATTATGTTCATTATACCTCTCCCTTGTATGCATGTTCTTAATCTTTTTGTGCGTGAATTAAATTTTTATTTGAAAACTTCTAGTAATTGTTTTGACTTTGTTAATCTGTCCATGATTTGTTGCGTCCGTTGTGTGGTCGGCACCATGAAATTCCATGGAGAGAGCTAATAGTGAATGGGTGAGTAACAGTGGCCTGCTAACAGGCTCAGAGGCACACGTGGCACGTTATTAATCTGCAGCATAAAAGCAAATGATCAGATTAGTACATTAATGTCTTCCCTGTGTGGTCTTCCCAGCATGGCAGGTGTTTCGGTTTCTCTCAGTGATTACGCTTTAGCGTGCAAATCACCCTGCAGTTGCTCCCTGCGATGGCTCTGTGGCAGCTTTCCTTTCCACAGCCTCAGCGCTGCCTTAGAGTTCGCAGCTTGCTCGGAAAGAGTCTAGCAAAGGTATCAAGCCTGTGCTGGCACAGCATGCGGGTGTGGACATTCCACACAGATGCTGCGGGCCCGGAGACGCCGGGGCAATTGCTGCCTCACTGGAGACCAAAGCGAACTCCTTATCTGCAGTGCACAGTAAATCACATTTTGATATAAGCAGTTCCTAATACAGTCAAATCTCTAATTACTGCCTGCCTGCCTGCCTGTCTGCCTGCCTACAGATAAAACCTTTATCTAGGTCAGCGGGAACTGTTAGTGGTAGCAGGACTGAAAACCACAGCTCAACACCTGCCGCCACAAAACAAAACCGAAGGCAGCCACAAAGCTAAAATAAAAAGAAAAAACAACAGAAACAGCTTACCTTTCAAATTCAAGCTTGCGGACACCAAGATTTATTTTAGAAAATCTACCTAAACTTAGGAACCCCGAGATATAGTCTTCAGCTTAAAATCTGTGGCTTGCCTAGTCACACTTTCAATTAAGCAAAATAGGGCCTGTATTTCTGGATTCTGCAGATTCCTGAATTTCGGACTGAGCACCGCAGTTACTTCTCGGTGCATTCCTGGGACTTGGAGAAGAACCTGGGCTCCCCGGGAGCCTGCATGTCCAGGCCGCTGGTGGGGAGCCCAGGCTGAGGCCTCTGTGTGCTGGGAGCCTGCTGCACTCTTTTCTTTGACCTCACCTGCCCTAGTCATCTTGTGGAGTGGGCTTGTAAACGATGGAACAGGTAGGTGCTCTGGTGGATTCGGATCGATGGGCATCACTCACCATGACTTCGACTTGTCCATAGTTTGTCTGTTGGAATTGGGAATCCTGTGTCCCCTTAACGTATTCAGCCCTCAAAACAGCCATAAGGAGCGAGGACCATTATAAGTCCTGTGTCCAGAGGAGAAAGGCAAGGCAACTGCTGAGGGCCAGGTCAAATTCAAAGCCAAGATCATCTGATCTAGAGTTGCAGGAATTAATTTATAAATCACAAAGATACATGGAAAACTTACTACTTTATTATCCAAAATGACAGTAACTGTGATGCTGACAAGAATGCCAACCACCAAAACCTCTTTCTTACATGATTAAAGCACAGCAAAGACTTGCGAGAAGGCAGCAGAGCCAATGCCCCCACTGCTCCCCAGCTCCGCTGGGGCATCACTCACGTGCCAGGACGTGCCAGGAGGAAAACTGTTCCAGGTCAGCCGACGCCTCAAACAACTTTGCAAGCATAGAAAATTTGATAAAACTGAAACCCAAATTGCCCCAGCACTTTTTATCCATTTATTCTTCAAAGTGTGTGTCTTTCTAGGGGACTAAAATCTTCACTTGTCTAATTCAACTTATCAAAACGTTTCCAGGGGCTATGTGGTGTTACAGAGTCTGTCTGATGATTCTTTGAGAAAATAAAAATGTCGGTTTTAAGCAAATCTGAAATAATGGAAGAGCTGAGTTAAGTGCTTTTCTATAGAAAATCTATGTTTGCAACCTGATCGCATACTGAATTAGATGCATTTCATTCCTTGTTAAATAACAAGTGCACTGCTCATGATGATTATTATTGATTAAATAATAATGACCAGGACCAGTATTATCACTAATCGTAGGCATTAAAGAGCCCTTTTGGATTCGGGTTGTGGTGGCCTCTCCAATGTTTTTTGGCAATCTTATAGAAGAAGAGGTAGCAAATTTAGTGACTCAAAAAAGTCATAAAGGAAAAACATATTCAAAATGTTAATAACCTGAATAAACAGATGAGCAACACTGGTTTAGCCTGAGTTCTTCATACGTTTTCCATCTGCTGTTACACCAAAATAACTTCTCCAAGTGAACATAGATCCACTGGGCCTTCCTTTTGAGTTTCTCTGATCCCTAGCAGATAACATTCTTCTATAATAAAAATGTGGCTTGGTAGGGGAAACTCACACTGCCTTTAAGGCCAGCACCCCTGCGTAAGGGAGACTCTGCGCGTGCGCAGGCCGTGCTTTGTGCACTTCCTCTTCCGGTGGAGGCCACTGGCCGAGCGAGGGACGCAGGGGGTGGAGCACGTGTGTCAGGACCCGCAGAGTGCTTACCGCTGCTGGGTAGGCGCGCAGCACGGAAGTGAGCCAGAAGTTCAGGGAGGTGTGGCATGCGGTGAGCTCTGAGGGCTGCAGCCACGAGACTCGTCAGTGCACCCGTGCCGCGCTGTGCTCGCTCCACGAAGGCCCCAGCCCAGGCCTCGGGTGCTCTTGAGTCCACGCCCTGTACTCACGCTCCTCTGCTGTCTGCAATGGCCTGATGACCGTGGCTTTCCTGCAGAACCATTCAGAGAGAGATGCTGCTTGAGTGTGCAGCTGGGATTGCATGGAGCTGGGATTGCAGAGGGGCCCAGCGGTTCTCTTCTGAGCCCCTGAGCTACAGGCCCAGGAGCCCAGTGGCCTCTGGGGAGCGAGGGCGGGGCCCAGGTGTCGGGTTCCCCGTGGACCCCAAGCCCTCAGCAGGTGGGCTCCCCTGCAGGACTCCCAGCCTGGCCTTTTAATGGCACTGCCATCCTAAGTGCTGGGTCGTGAGGTAAAAACAATCAGAGCAGCCACCAGCCCAGGCCCAGGAATTGGGGCCCCTCCCCTCCACTAGGCGGCAGCTCCCGGCTTCTGAGATGGTCTCTGCCCCATTTCTAGTGAAGGCTCTGCGTGCTCTGTGTTGGGCTGCAGCTGGTGTTGGCCAAACTACAGCTGCTCTGCTCACCAAGGAGGTGAGGCTGTTGTCACGTCTGGTCACCTGGTCATGACATCACGGGGTTGGGAACCCTCCCACCTGCCTGCTGCGTTGTCTTCCACGTCACTTTGGTTTATTCTTTCCTGCGCAGTCTCTTCTGGCTGCTTCTGGATGCATTCAAACAGCTTTTCAGCCCCACTGGGAAGAGCGTTTCTGTGCTCAGATCCCTGCTGCAGAGGTTCCTCCTACTTCTTGCTGTAGCGTTTGAGAAACAATGTTAAACCCCAGTCTCGGACAGGAGATCTGAGTGACAGAGCCTTGACTTCCTCCTCAGCCCGCCCACAGCACTTGGCTATTTATAAAACGTCTGTCTGGCAGGCCAGCGCCAAACTGTCCCCAGCACTCCCTGGAGCTGCAGTAACAGTTGCTGGGATGGTGTGAAGGTTGGTATTTAATACAGGAGGCTGACGTGCACTGACACAGTCGCAGTGTTTATCTGAAGTTAAATTTCAGATAGGGATTCTTTGCTCATAGAAGGAAGCCGTCTTCCCAGACACATGTGGGCTTCTCCCTGAGGGACACTGCTCAGTGAAGAGACACTCGCTACGGAGATAGCAGTGCACAGCCCGAGCAGCCATCTCTGTACCCAAGAATGACACATGGAAACTTCAGTCCATTCTGAGGGGGCTAGGGTCCTGGGTCCAAGCACTCACCCATGAGCTCTGACAGAGGTGATCTCAGAGAACTGAGGGAGTCGTGATTGCAGAGGCTGGAGTCTGCAGAGAGTGAACTTGGGCAAATGTTGGTCAAAGGATACAACATTTTAGAGACATAGTGCAAGTTTAAGGAATCTATTGTACAACACAATGACTGGAGTTAATAACCATACATGGGGGCCCGGCCCTGTAGCTCAGCAGACTAAAGTGCCTGCTTAGGCAGGTGCAGGGACAGGGTTCCATCCCTGATATGCCCTGCTGGCCACACCCCAGGGGTGTGCTGAGATGGCAATTGTGACTGGGTGTGGTAATCCTAGTGCTTGGGAGGCTGAAAACAGGACGGTCACTATGAGTCTGAACTGTGTAATGAGACCCTGTAGATGATGCACTAAATACATTTTTTAAAAAAAGGATTGCTAAAACTACATTTTGTCTAAATACAAAGTATCATTTCAGAAAGAGTTGTTTATTCCTTGCACTTCGAACATGGGATGGCATCGTCGTGCTTGCCGCTTTCTGAAGCAGCTCTGTCGTCATCGCCCATGAGCAGGTTTACAAGGTGTGACCAAAATGCGGCCAGGAGCCATCCGGGGGAAGACAGATGCCTTATGACGCATTGCTGTGTGTTCTTTACCCCTAATTCACCAGACCTGGCACCAGACCAGCGACTTCTGGCTCTTCGAAGTCATGATGACCATGAATTAATTTAGGACATGGAGACAGTGACAACAGGAAGGCCCAAAAGAGGTTACTTAGGACTGCATCAGAAAGCAGCAAGAACAATGAGATATGCTTGCTCAGCACCAGGGCCAGGCTAGGAAAGGGTCAATGGCAGTGCATCTCTTACTGTAATCTAAAATACTTTCAGGGCCGGTCAAATAGCTCAGTGAATTAAAGTGCCTGCAAGAAGGCTCAGGGGCTGGAGGATCGATTCCCGGACCTGCCGTGCCGGCCCCGCCCCTGGGGGCACACTCAGATGGCAATTGAGACTGGGCATGGTAGCGCGCGCCTGTAATCCCAGCTCTTGGGAGGCTGTAAACAGGAGAATCACTACGAGTCCAAACTAGTAGTGAGACCCTGAACACTCTGTAGACCCTTCCCTAAAATACAAAAATAAAAAAAAGAAGAAGAAAGCAAGCAAGCAAGCACATTAAATTCCGACAACCCTCTTGTGGTATGACACTCCTGGTACATAAGGAGGCTTTCCCTTTGTCACTGCAGAATCGAAGTGTGCTATGGACATTGCAAATGAGAGATGCTTAAAGTGAACTCCTCCTTCCTCTAATTTTCTTGTTACTTCGACTGGAATAGCGCGGTTCCAACTCCAGCCTCTCGGAGCAGCTCTGTGAGAAAGTTGCTGCTGCTGCAGCTCGGAGGTCAGCAAAATCATACCTGGAGGGAATGAATCGGATTTATGAAGATATTTTTAAAATTTCCAAATAGGAGTTGACATTTTTTTGGCTTGCTAAACACAGCCAAAATATGCATAACCTTCTGGCTGATGGCCAATGTGTCTTCTGCACAATAAATCACTTCGCCATAGTGTATTAGGATTTAAATGGTTTCTGAATGAAACATCCACATTCTAGATGGTTTTTCAGAATCAATATATGTTCCTAATTTTCACGCACAGAAGCATCTTTTAAAAACTCATTCTGGAAATATTTTCAGAACTAATTGGAAAGAGAAATTAGAAAAAGTTACTTATCACATCAGCCGGTCCACACATCTTCAACTCGCAGCTCCCCGCACCCCCGTGTGACGGGGGGATCCCCGCATGAAGACCCTGCACAACCCGCGGAGGCGCCTGCTGCGGCGCCGGCCCGGCCTCACGCGCCTGGCACTGCGCGCCTGCCCTTCAGCCTCCAGTCCACTGCCTGTTGCTGTGGATGAGGCGTCCCTCTGGACCAAACAGGCAGGTTTCGCTTGCACAAAGAAGAGGCTGCAGGGAACCAGCTCGTCCGTCCCGTCCTGCCAGACGAGCATCCAGTCAGTCCTTTATCTGGAGTGCCGCGGGCCTTTCTTGCTGGGGAGCTGCTGGTTCGTGGACGCGCATCTCCTTCCTGAAGGAAGGAGCCGGAACACAGCCATGGCGTCCACACCGCGTTCAAAGCCTCTCTCTGCCAGCGCGCTGTCGCGCGTGCACTGCGTCTGGCACCCGCTGATGGCTCTGTGATGGAAGCGCGTCGTCGGGGGAAAGCGCAGCCACAGGCGCGTTGCCGGCAGCCCCCTGCGGCTTCTCCAGCGCCGCCCGGAGCTGGCTCCTGCCTGGCCTCTGCCGGCCGTCCTGCGGGCACCGGAGGGTGAGGAAGCCCGCTGGGGGGGACTCACTGCTCCTTCCTCTTCAGCGTCCCTGTCAGCTCGGTCTGTCTGTGGATCGTGCTCTTCTTAGAGCTGCTACGATTAAGTCCTGCTCTGCGTGTTAGGAAGTCTTTTCTGCACGGTCACGCAGTTGTGTCCGCCCAGGCCTGGGCAGGAGCCGCCGCCACCCCAACCTGCGGAGCACATTGCACTCAGCAAGCTCCACTTCACCTTGGTCCGACCTCCGGGGCGCCAAGCCCGCGCAGAGGCTGCATTTGCAATGCAGAATTTTACTTTAAGACATTTAAAGCACTATCAACAGCCGTGACTTCTGTTCTGCACGCTAAAAACGGCACTGCCTCAGCCCAAGGCCCCCACAGTCCACCCCAGCGATGGTTTAGGGTGCGGTTCTGCACAGGTCCTGTGATCCTCACTCTCTGGTCTCAAACCACCTGGTAACATTTTCTCTCTGGATCTAGATTGCATACTAACACTGGCCCACTGGAGCCCATTACCTAAGACTTCCTTTCTCGGGGACAACAAAGCTGGTACCACTCCAAGCTTGTGCCCTTTGTTGACATGTGTATTCCTTTCAGATCACAGAATGAAGTCTAACACTGTGGTTCTCAGGTGTGTCAGCACAGTAGGCCAGGCACACTCGTGCCTGCCTGTGAGCACTGCCGCTGAGACGCCCCCTCTGCTCTCCCCGCCGCTCCTTCCCCTGACAACTAGACAATGGACGATGACCTTGTGGGTTCCAGGTTGGTACTGCTGGCCACTACTCGCCAGTCTGCAAGATCTAGAGCTGGGCAGAGCCACTTGGGGGAGCCTGACCCAGGCGGGGGTCACCACTTCTGTCCAGCACGGGGGCAGCTATAAAGCATAGGCCTTTCACCAGAACCCTAGAACAGCTGAATTCTAACTGGATGTGCAGCGACTGTAAGAATCTCGTTGTGAGAACTAGAGAAAAGACAGTGCCCAGCATAGACTGCTTTGCTTTTTCTACTAACAAATGAATTCATTTCTAAAAATGATTTTCCACCCCTATGGCTTTTCCTCGGGGATGTAGTCATTTTCCTCCAGCTACCCGAAGGGTATCCTTTGAGTGAGAGATCCTGTCTTGCTCACCATGCCCACAGTGCCATGCAAGCTGCAGTCATTGGCTGGTTTCCTGCGCCCACGCCTAGGCCCAGCTTTGCCTGGTGTTAGCTCGGGATTCACTGTGTACTGCCCACTTGGACCTTTGGCACCTTCCCAGGCTCGAAGAGTTAGGAGTTAAAGGAGCTGTTGATCAAGAAGTTTATACTAGGCAGTAGCCTGAGAGTCCCAGAAATAAAGCCTGGTTCTCCGACAGAGGAACACAGATGGAAGAAAGCTGCGGAGCGCTGTGGAAGCAGGCTAGTTCCAAAGTACATCTTCCATGGTATTAAAAAAAAGTAGGAATGATGTTCTCATTTGTTTTAGATGCTTTTCTGATGGTTGAGACAAAATACCCAGGGCCTGGACTGAAAGTAGAGGTTTATTTAGCTCACAGTGTGTAGGGGTTTCATTCCACAATCGCTGGCTCCAAGGCAGGGTGGTGTGGCACAGGGACATCCAGAGAACAATGGATGGTGGGCAGAAGGCATCGAAGCAAGCAAGGGTGGCAGGGAGACAGCTCCGCAGCATACGTGCCTGCCTGACAAGCGCAAGCCCTGAGTTTGATCCCTGATAAAAATGATAATAATAATTACTGCTATTATGCTGCAAAGCAGGCGAGCGACCTCAGTGGCTTTTTCTGCCTCTTGTACTCCATGTGGGCTACCAGGATTAGGCGCTGCCGAGCCGGTCACTGTAGCAATCGCTCACCCTGAACCCCAGCACCGCAGCATGAGTCACTCAGACCCAGCCGCCTCTGGAAAAGGCCCTGTGAGGGCACGAGGCGCGGGAGCATCTAGATGCAGCGGCAACAGATGGAACTCATGCTGTTTGGGGGGAATGGCGCCCAGCGCTGCACGATAGGTGTCGACATGGCCCCTGCTCAGTGAACATTTACTGCTAGGACTGCGACAGTGTTAGCTGTTAGGACTTTCGTAAGCCTGCTTAAGTGAATGTGGTAGCAAAGTGGCAGCATGATGTAGTGTTTAATTTTCTGTGCTGGGGATACATTCCAGCGCAAGCATTGATAGAAAAGGGACACAAGCCACTAATTACG